AAAATGAACCTGAGTCTTTTGTTATAGTAGTAATCTATCCTGCAACCCAGGCTGACATCACAGATCGGGAACTCCATCGTCAAGCAAGGACAATCCTTGTTGAAATGGGACTTTTTCCAAGTGAGTTATCCTTGAGAACTTGTGTACTGTGTCTGGTATATTATGATTTACTGGAATATTTTCAGTAAATTCTGTTTCAAAACAAATATTTTAAAAAGTAGTTGAATTTTTCTTCTTATCCATTTCTAGGTACAAGATGATTACCTGGACTGCTTTGGTGATCCATCAGTCACAGGCAAAGTTGGAACAGACATAGCAGAGGGCAAGTGCACCTGGCTATCTGTTGTAGCACTACAGAGAGCAACACCAGCACAGAGGGCTCTCATGGAGCAACATTACGGCAATCCAGAAGAGGAGAGTGTGAATAAAGTTAGGGCACTTTACAAGGTTAGTGTATGAGATTTTGGTCACACACACACACACACACACACACACACACACACACACACACACACACACACACACACACACACACACACACACACACACACATACACATATGCACAGCACACACATACACACATACACACATACACACACACATACACATATGCACACACATACAGCACAATACACACACATACACATATGCAGCACACATACAACACATGATACACATATGACACACACATAACAGCACAGATGGAGACGTCGTTTGAGAGAGTTTTATACAGTCGGCTGTGCAGGCATATTAACTTTAATTAGACTTATTGGCATTCTTTTTTGCTTTGCATCATCTTTTTTTTTTACCTTTTCCTCTTTTTTTTTCTTTTCATATCTTTTTTTCTTTCAATTATGGAGGGTCCATGGTATGAATGCCACAATAGGATAATTATTCGACAACAAAATAATGGCATTGGCACATCTAATACATGCATAATCTTACAAAAACACCAGGAAGAAATGTAAAAACGACACATAAGAAAACCGAAAATACCAGGAAAGCAACCAACATGACACAAGATGAACAAAAACATAACACCACATAACACCAGAATACACACCACATAAACTACACCACAAAAAACACACACAAACACCACACCAAGGAAAGACCGGAAACACACCATACACACAACCACCAACGAACCACAGCCGCACACACCAACACCACGCACAAACACCAACCACGCACACAAAACCAGAACAGAACACCACACGCACACACACGCAACACAACAACGCACGAATCCACACACACAAACATGCAAACGCCCACAAGAGGACCAAATGCCCACGCACCAGCGCGCAACCGCCAACACGCATACGACACCAACACACACAACAAACACACCAACACACACACACAAACCAAAAGCATCAACCACACACGGCAGACAACCCCAAAGCAGACAAAACAAGACAAAAACCCAATTACAACCAAAACATATACACACAATAAAACATACATGAACAAATACAACATGAACACCACACACATGACAACCCAAAATGAACACAACATGAAAACATACACCATGAAAACAAAAAGCACTGAACAACAACATGAAGCAATAAAATAAACTGAAAAAATACAACCTGGACACCTATAACACCGCAAACCACACCACCCATGAAACAAAGCTACCTGAAAACATAATACACAGCCCACACAGACAATGAACACACACACACCAACATGAAACACACAACAATGAAACACATAACACATGAAACCACACCCTGAGACACCACCACACACACACACACACACACCAAACACAAACACCAATCACAAACACAACACACAGCACACACAAGAGACACACTACACCAAGACACCACACACACACACACCAGCACATGCACACACCAACAGCAACCCATGCACACACACACCACGCCACCATACCACGCAAACACACCATGCATACGCCACACACACATGGACAGCCAAACACCATGGCAACGAATAAACGCGCCACCAACACAAGGCACACGAACGCACACACAAGCGCAACGCAACACACAGCGCACACGCAAAACCATACCCCACACACACAACACACCACCCAAAATACAACCACTAACATGAAACACCACCCATAACCATGAAACACACACATAGATGAACCACAAACATGAACACAATGCACAACAGGACACCATACACACCCACAACCACCAAATGACACGACAACAAAACATGACAAAGCACAATGAAATAACACACACTGAACACAACACACACATGAACACACATACACACATGAAACCACACAGCATGAACTACACCAGCAACATGAAACCACAATAATGAAATCACCATGAAAACTATCAAACGGCACAGCCTAGTAAGCGTTCACACACATAAAACAAATTATTTTGTGATATTGTAGTAAATATATCTACCATGAACACAAATTCAACAATGACATCAAACACACACATGAACACACCAAACACTGAAACACATACACAACATGAAAAAAACACATAGAATAATGGTAAAAGGAATGATACAACACATGAAAACACATACACACACATGACACACAACACACACATGAGCACACAAAAATACATACATGAGCACACACACAGACACACACACACACACACAACACACACACACACACATACATGACACAACATACACACGCGCGCGCGCGTTACACTACAGGCATACATGTATGCACACCCTCAGGCACTCTAACACTCAGACTACAGGCACAGACATACACACACACGTAAAAGCTCACGCACATGCAGAACACCACAGAGGGTTACTGTTCAAAGACATTTAAAAAAGACACTCTAACACTCAGACATACAGGCACAGACATACAACACACGCATAAAAGCTTACACACATGCAGACACCAGAGGCACACACACCACACACATGCAGACACCTACAAGTACCACAGCAGATACTCTCAGGCACACACACACGCACGCACACACGCCCTAAACACCGGACTGGCACGCAAGTTCTTTTCTTTTTTATACCTAGTAAAATACCGCCTGTTGCCGCACAATGGAAGTCGTCCGCTCTTTAACATAACGTGAATATTTCGACGAAGGATGACACAAGAAGACACACACACAATTAAACTGGTAGAATACACACTTTACAGGCACACACAGAATTTTTACAGGCAGACACAATTACCACAGGCAGAGACACACAGGTGGATGGGTGCTTCATGGCGGGTGGTGTGAAGCGATGGTGTGGTAGCCTAGATAGTGTTAAGTGCTTGCATGCCTTCACGCTTTGCAGCTGCCACCGACTGGCTAGCCTTGTGCGAAAAAGGGAGCAGCGCCGCATTCTCCCCTGCCAGTTCATAGCCTCATCATCGAGACTTCTGCAGTGCCTCCGTGGCCACCCATGGCAATGGACCTTGCGGTCCCAGGCTGAAAACTGTAGGGGATCTCGGAGCAGCAGGAGGCGAGTACAGGGTCATAGCCCTGGCGTGTGGATACGCTCTGGCCCTGTACTAACTCCTGCCCCTAAGCCCCCTGGGGTCAATGGGAGGCTCGGGGAAGGTGGGCCTTGCCAGTCCCAGAGAATAACTGCAGTGTTGCGCTTAAATGGAAATGCTGGGGGAGGGAAATGTCCCTCCTACCCAGCGAGAGAGGCGGGCTGCGGACCCGTTGGGAGGCGGCTGCTGGGCGCAGGTTGGGAAGGGAGCTCCTCGTCCCGCCTGCGTTCTGGTAGCCGCCAGCCACCTGATATGATGCTTGAGGGGCAAAGCTAGGGAACCCCACAGGTGGATGATGGGTCTGCAGCCTGACGGCTTTTAGGTGGGGCAGCGTCAGCGGTGTGGCAGAGGTGGACTGTCCGAGGGTTAACCTCAGGCGAGTAGTCAGGGTGGGCACTTGGAACGTCCGCTCTTTGCATCAGGATGATCGGTTGCCCCTACTATCGAGGGAACTGGGGAGGCTGAGAGTAGGGGTGGCTGCTCTCTTGGAGGTGAGAAGACTGGCAGCGGCACGATCAGTGTAGGTGGCTACACCTATTACTGGTCGGGCTGCAGCGATGGTCACATTTTAGGGAGTAGCCATATATGTCTCCAGTAGGCTCCAGCCTTTGGTGGTAGAGGTCACTCCAGTCGATTGAGCGTCTAATGGTAATGAGACTGAAGCTGTCTTTTGGCTTCATGTCTCTTATTTGCTGTGTACGCTCCTACCGATGTGTGGTAAACTTGACGCGAAAGAGATGTTCTATGCAAACTTGCATCTGTGGCAAGACAGTTATCCCCGGCGAGATATTCGTATGTTCTAGGTGACTTCAATGCGGTATCTGGCTGTGATCGAGCTGGTATGAGATGTCAGTGGTCCTCATGGTTCGGGAGTTGATACCGGCAGCGAGAAATTCCCTCCTTTTCCGGGATTTTGCAAGATCTAGAAATTGAGGATTTCTGGTACTGGTACAGCGCCAGACCAGTTGACATGGTAAGCGATGCGGGTAATGCAGCAAGGAGATCGATTATTCTCGTTAGCACTCGTTGGAAGATCCTCCAGAACTGCAGGGTGTATAGGAGTGCCGAGTTCTGTGGTACTGACCATAGATTGGTTGTGGCTACCCTCTGGGTTCTTCAAAACTCCCCAGCAGCCCAAAATGACCACCCTATGGTGTTCTATCTGGACAGGCTGAAGAGAGGGAGTTTGCTTTAAAGATTTGCTGAGACATTTGGATCGGTCACAGCTTTGACAATGTGACGGTATCCTGTACTCTGTGAGACACTTCAAGCGTGAAACCTTGATGCAGCCCAAGAATCGATTGGAGAAGCTGAGAGCAAGACAGAATTTAATCTCTCAGGAGACACTGGATGCTTGCCGTGCGGCTCGTCTGGCAGGGAATGGGATTTGCACCGTTCTCAGGTGCGCAGGGGACAAGGAACAGGTTATTAGAAGTCTTGCTGAGGATGTCGAAGGCCATTTCTTAGTATGACCTTCGTCCTACATACCAACCAAAGAAAACGAATTTCAAGCCTTTCACAAGTGACTGAAATTCGCTTAGGTGGCCAGATTTCTCAGATCCTGTTGCGGTGCGGGATGGTTGGGCTGAGTACTTTGAGCAGTTGTATCAGGTTGACCTCCAACAGTTAACTTGGATGTTGGTAGTGCCGTGATTCCTCTGCGGACCCACCCCCTAATGAAGTTATGGAGGCAATCTCCAAGCTATAGAGTGGTAACAGCGGGTATTTGTGGCATCCAGCTGACTGTTAAAGGAGGTGGTGAACCTATGGCATGGGGATTGCATGCTGTCCTGGCTGCCATCTGGCAATCCGGTACTGCTCTCTGACCTGTTGAGGAGTGTGGTCATCCCTCTGGAAGGGGAAGGGGGACGATGGGATTGCACAATAACGCGGCATCACACTGCTCAGTGTACCAGGCAAGGTTCTTGCCCACATCCTTTGAGACGTATTAGAGACCATCTA